ATAGAAAAAACAATGATGGACAATACCATTGTTCATATCATGTACAAACAATAACTGTTCACAAAATGGCAGCCTCCTACTTTCATAAGCAAACGACTAGGTAATACGCGTTCCATATATTGAGTTCAGTGCAAATTATATACCAATTATACATGTCAACAAATTCTCATATGTGATATATCAATAATATAGGATTAATATTAGAAGTAGGGTAATAGTTTATAAACAAATAGAGCAAATGTAAACGCAATTTTTAAAATTGATAAATATTAAATTATAATATAGGCTATAGAATTAAGAATCCTGAAATCAATATTTTAATTGTTGTCTGTATGTGTTAATCGTTATAGGGTATTGTATGGTAGCTTTATGGTTTAATTTTTTTTTGAACATTTTGTACAACTAATTTTTATTTAGGTACTATTCAAAAAATTGTCTTAATTAAAAAATATTGTTCTCTGGACATTTTTGTAAATATCGATATTTTCACCTAGAATCTCGATGGTATGGCACACAAGTGTGACAAATGCACTTGTACTGTAATTTTACACAGGTATGACGTTTAAAAAAGTATAATGATATTGCATACAATATATTTAATGAACTCGACAAGTTCATCAGCAACGGAAATCTGAATCCCCGGCTGCCAATATTTGTACACAATGTGTAGATAGCTATTATATTATGTAGCATTGCCCGGTTTATCAAAAACAAAATAAAAAATACACTTGTTTTATATGATGTCGATATAATGTATTTAAAATAAACAAGCAAGTTTGTAGGTCTGGAGGCATTTACTTGTGTTGCTGCGACTTGATTTGATAGAATAATGTCACCTTGGAAGTAAACATACCATGGTACAGCAATAGTATATGCCTAAATGTTTATTTACACCGTACGGATACTTAACGGTCTCGGTGGCCAACAATTGAACTCTTTATTTTCAATTTTTCCCCACGAGTCTTAACACTACATCACATTCATTGTATCATAATAAACGCTTTTTATTGTAAATAACTCTCGAGAAAAAAAACCATAATTAATGACAACGAATCGCTTACATATATATCTATAAATGTAAAAATACACGTACAAATTGTTTCACGTGACTTTTTTTTATGACTCTATAATATGGCCTGTGGTATTTTAATAAGAAGCGGTTTTAATGGAACTTTAGAACGGAATTATTACAGTCCAATGCACTCATTAATTTCCAGTGTTCTAACTTTACACGACCACGGCAGCTGTCCCGATCGGAGTCTATATTGTATTCAGCAGATTTTACTTGGATCAAATGTGTAGACATGTGTTTTTTTTTTATTTCCATAAGTTTGTTGTTCTATTCTCCTACACTCCCTATGATATTCCATTAACGTCTAGCTTGTATGTATAATATATACATGTATACTACATATATTATAATATCACGAGGCATTTGAAATGCGTGTACGTTGACGTCTAGCGCTTAGAGTGTATCGCAACCACTGTTAGTCGCACACCATCATAAAAATCAATTAGCAAATATTATTTTTACACATTGCATTTGCCGTGTGTTATACTGTTATGACAATAATCAGTATAGAATATAAATGTATGAAATTAAATAATATTACCAAGTATAATACTATCTGTACACATCGAACGTGGCTAGATTTGTTTTAATTTTGTAATAATATATACTATGTTTAACATTGTTACTTATAGTGGATTGCATAAGAACCTTGCGGTACGCACTGATGAATGGTATAATATGAAACAATCCGATATTCATAATTACGAGTAGTTCCACGTGAAAATATCCATTGTGTAAAAAAAAAAGATCCCAAACAGAATTTAGGTGCCCCAATGTGTCAACGACCGTATTAGCGAAAAATGCAAACTGCTGTTTCTATAACCAGTGAAAATAAAACTAGGTAGGTACTAAAACCGCAAATAGTAGAACGTATAAATTGTAATGCAGTTTGTAATCCGGTTATTTACCGTAGCTTTAAGTATACTGGGGATACGATTATTTACATTTTTAATTAGAACTCAACTGCATAAACACGGCAATTATTTCGGTGTGGATAACTACTTGTGTACCTAACTTGCCCGAAACGTATACTCGTTCAGGCATTAACGTCGGGTTTTGTAGGCAGTTTTAATGATGATTATTTACTCACTGAACATTTATTAATATAGCTAACGCATAAAAAAATCCATCGTCAAACACTGGACGTGGCGAAAAACACAAATAATATTTAATTATAACACAATGATTATTACTGATTGCCAGTATATTATTAATTGTAATTGGGAACCAGTCGCTTGTATAAAATCAAATATTCTAAATTATTTTACAATTAGTAAACGTGGTAAAACTTGTATACATCTGTAGCTGGGACCACAAATCGAGTATATTATAGACGGTACATTTTCGCTGCTTGTTGTCAAGATAAACTTTTAATTGACATAATATACACCTAACCCCAAGTCGATACTAAACAGTATTTTATACGAATTGCCATTTAGCATGGGCCATTGACTATTTGAAGTGATGGGAATCAAGACGGTATAAAATCAAGAAAGAAAGAAATTACAAAAAAACAAGTTACGGGTAATTCATTTCAGTTTTCTACAATACCTCTTTCGAAAATGTATATAAAAGTTGTAAAACAATCACAGATAGAAATAACCAGCTAGTTTTATTGATATCAATACTATGTATATAGTAGAATATGATTAAAAAAAACTAATTTTTGAAAGAAATGTCACTCAGTTAGTCCTTATTACTGTATTTCTCTAATCAAGTTATACTTGACAAAATCCGAAATCGCATTATCTAATTCCTCAGGTATTACCTCGGTACTTATAACTAATATACAACACAATTATTATTATTTAACGCAGTGTGAACTTTACCAGTGTTGCCTATACGGGAAGCAACGAAATAGGCTTAACTTTTTGTTATGTTAAAGCCCAGTACAAGTGAAAACAACAAGTTAGTTAACCTTGTAATAATAACACTTCTATTTTACAATATAAGTAGATTTTTTTGTCTGTGTATTACAAAATATTATTTTGTACATTTCAAATAAAATTCAAGTATGAATGACACTTTGAGACACGCGTTTTTATGAAATTACTATTTAAGTATACTTCAAAATAGTGTTGCAATAATTTTGAGATAATAATTAACATGTTAAGTTAAAATTAACATTATGTATCCCAAATAACATATGGAGTTGTCCAATTTTATGGTATTTACTTATCAACAGATAGCATATTTATTTAAATTGTATGAACTATATTGCCAGTACACGGCAGTAATTCAATGAATGTTGGATGCTAACAGTTTGCCAGGTAATAAATGTTTGGCGACAGTCGATTGGCGTCGAGACTCGAGCTCCGTTTTATATGCGACCATTTGGTTGAAGTGTTGACAATAACAACAAACGTGTGTTTAGAAAATGCTAACCGAAAAAAATATGAAATATTTTTTTATTTATTGTTTGAAAACTAAGAATAATACGAGGATAATACACAAGGGAATCCCTGTACCGTCGATTCGATTCGGCTCAATTTATTGTTTTGTAACAACGGTGTAAGATGTAAATAAAAAACAAAATGAAACAAACAGAGCCAATAAAGTTCCATTAGAGCCAAGTTGAAATATTTTATAGCATCCTATAGAAATAGCATATAGATATTTTTGTAATGCGAAGTTATTCTTGTGTATGTCGTTCCGTTATAGTCAAATAGCACAACAGAAATATATATAATATTCTGGTTATTTTTTCATCAAGAACGTGGACCCGAGAGCGGGTTGGTCTCTATGCCGTAAAGAAAGAATCAATAACAATGGGATGGGACGGAGTCATTTTATTTCAATATAGCTAATAACAATTTAAGACGAAGCGTAGGTACCTGCTTATAGAGCTTGATCAGGTGAACAACATCGTAGAATAGTGAACACCTAACAGGCTATTTTTGACATCACCTCTTAGTGTTATTGGTACCTAACTAATTCAGTTAAAAAATGATTGGATTTTTTTTATAATGTGATTTGTATGGTAATTTTAGTAGGTATCTAGATGCCCAGAAAAAAAAACATAATCGGTCAAACTAAAATTATGGGTAATATAAGGAAACATTACATTTCTAGTTGGATTAACTAAAAACATAGTTGGCTAAATTAAATGTTTAGTTATTCCAAGAAGAAATGTATTACAGCTATACTGATAATAAAAGATTGTTTTATGTCGTGAATATCAACAAGTCAATGTATTGGTTACATTTCGGGAGACATTTTAAAGTGGATACTTGTTTTAATTTCTAGATAATTTCAATTAACCCTGTTAATATTTATGTTCCTAATACGGCTAGACGTTGTTAAACATAATGTTTATAATTTAATATTATTCTTATGCATTGATTAAATGAGTTGTGTTCTCTTAGATTTCTCAGACCTTCATTTCCCCGCGTGCTGCAAATTATTATTACTAAGGTTATCGGAAAAACTTGGACATGCTTCTTTTTCGCGAACGACTTTGTAGTCGCTTAGTATTATATATTATATGTTTTTTGTTTAGATTTATACTCTAGTCTATAGATAGTAATTTTTCGATCGAATTAATTATACTTTATTACCAAAGGTCCTACGACGACCGCTCTCGTTTGAAGAAACAGGTGCGCGATTATTATACCTCTCGAGTGCCAATTAAAATTAAAAATATGTTCGAGAATTTCATATACCGCATCTATGTTATATTATATTAAGCACATACAAATCGTATACATAACAAACATACCCTTGGCGGTATGGGCGCGACTCTTTCTTTGAAGAACCACCGGCGCTATGTTATAATAATATTATAATGATAACATAATATTATACACATAAGCACGAGCTAAAGGAGGCGGTGGTGGCTGAGAGAGCCCCCAACAGTTCGTACCAGCACACACGTCACACGAACGCACCGTCGACGTCGCACCGGATTCGTTCAGCGCCGTCACTACACTCTACAGTCACTGCGACTGCACCGCACGTTTTTATTCTGACCTGGTCCGTCGCCGGGTTCGGACGTTTATGATATAGTATAACACAATCGCTACAAGCAGTTCAAATTTTTGTTTTCTTGCTCCGTCGCGTACTTACATACACGGTATTTTGTTATTTTTTTTTTTTTTTTTTTTTTTTTAAATAACCGGCCAGGTCGATGTTTATTTGCGACAAACTATAAGTATATTATTTTTATTTATTTTTCGCCGTCCGGTACCGGGTCTCGTCTTGTCGTCAAGAGTCCGCCCGGCCACGAGACGCTTTTATATATTATAATATATTTTTCCCTTCGTTCAACACCGTGTCGTAGAGCCAACAAACCGTCGGCGCGGCTGCACTGAATTGTCGACATCCGCCATGGATTTGCTGTGCTGCGAATCGCCGTCCGCGAGCGTGGCGCAAAAGGATCCGGCTCTGCTGTCTGACGACCGGGTGTTTAACACTATGCTGAAAACGGAAGCTCGGTACCTGCCCAAGCCCGATTACTTGCGGCTAATGCAGAAGGAGATCACGCCCGACCTCAGGAAGATCGTCGTCGATTGGATGTGGGAGGTAAGACTCGTATAATATATATATATACATTTTTTATAGCTTAAATTTTTATTTTAGCGATCGTGTGTGTTTTTCTATACAGATAGGGTAGTTTTATAATATACCGAAATCCGGTTGAATTAGACTTTTGGACATTTTAAGTGTAGTCTGTGCTAACGGCCATCGTTTGCAGAGTTTCAAATAGAACGTTATTACTAGAATGTTTTTTTTTTCTGCTCAACTAAATAACGCGTACCCGATTATGATTTAAGTCATAGGTACCTCTCCTCTCTGCCCGTCCTTCCTCCTCCCAACGTCTACATCAGTACGCTGAGGTTATTGCACGACGAGAAAATTATAATATAACATATATGTATATCAATCGTATTATATAGTCTCGTTATCGCCAGCTGTTTTTTTAATTTTACACACCACACGCACACACATGTATAAGATACGGTCAACAAGTGGGGATCGTGTTGTTCTGTATGGAAAAAAAATTCATTCGCGCACAAACTGAACAGTCGCTAATTGACGACGATAATGGTTTCGACTATTGACATTTTTTTTTAGGTATTTTTTCCTACTTAAGCAACATAGAAAACTATGCGTCGGTCATTTGGGCGATACTTTTGTAAGCACAGTCATTTTTAGGACGGTTTTTCGTGTTATTGTCTCGAATCTTGATGGGTTTTTTGTTTAGCCAAACAATTTTGTAATTTTTTATTTATTTTTCTGTAAAATTTAATTTGCAATCGCGTGCATTGCCGTTTTTCGAGACTCGATGGAGGGGCGGGGTGAAGAAAAAAACTGTCACACGTCGATAGAGATGTATTTAGGCGATGGCAGGTAACGTCATCAATGGAAAAACTGGTTTATTCGAAAACGTAAAAACAACATAACGTGTGATAATATGCTTAACTTGAGCTCACTCATTCAACTAATCGGTTCGGCCGACACAACCGGACCAGTAACAAATGCGCGATATCAGCTTTTGGACCGGATGTATGTCTATTTTCGTTTCGTTGTGTTACCTGTGTCGGTTCCGGATTAGCCTATTTGGTTGGGTTTACATTGGAAACGTAACACGTGCCCAACGCCGGTTAGGTTAATTCGATCAGCTGATTTTCTCAATTGCTCGGATATTCGATCCGTCTGGTCGGCGTGCCGAACGCTAATAGCTTAGATAATTATTGCTGTCGATGTGATTGTAACATTATTGATCTGTCATGAGTATCCCGTACAAAAATAAATATCGGTATGTTGAAAGAAAGCCGCTATACATTATAATACTCGCGCAAGTATCAAATCAACAACACTCGGATTATCCCCGACCATTCGTATATGTATTTTATTGTTTTATGAACGTTTGGTCGCCATTTGTTGTTTATGACATGTAATCTGGAGTTTTACTTTTATTCGCGGTAGCTACAGGAAAAAATATATCTGGTACCCACACGCGTAGATGGCGACGTGCCAGAAAAAAAAAACCCGACGAGACTCGATTTTAATAAGCACTCGGGTCTCGGAATTCAGACACTGTTATTCACTCTATTTACATTATCCCCGAAAGAAAATATGAAAACCAATATACCGTCGCCAAACACGTTTTTGTACTTAAGCGTTAAACAAAAAAAAAAAAAACGTTTTATCGCAATTTCCATCTTATGATTGAAAATAAAAACATTGTCGGTTAGTAGTTTTATCGTCACGATGACGGCGACGGCCACCTGTGTGAATCTATATCAGTTCTCGTTGTTTTAATCTTGTTCATTTCAAACGTCTTAAGATTAAAAAAAAAAACGTATACCCATAACCCAGATAGTAGATGTGAAATTTGGAACAAATTGTTGAACAAAGGTGTAGGTGCAAACTGGTATAGTTGACCGATAGGTAAGTCGGTATACGAAACGGTTTAGTGCATGTTTGAGACTTAGGGGCCGCCGACACGACACCATTTTTTTTATTATATACATGTACGGACGGCCATGGTCGCCGTAAATCACCTGTTGTGTTTGGGGTTGATATTATAATAACGGGTCACAGCGGGTGGTGGTGGCGGTGGTGGAAATCCCTGACCTACGCCAACTACAAAAAAACCGAAAAGGTCGTCTCGTCTGTAAATAATCTATACTTGTGTGTTGTGGGATGTTGGAATGATTTTCCGTTGACCGGACGTCGATAAACGATTAATGTAAAAAAAAATGCATAACGTTTCCGGATATCGATGATGATAGAGAAACAGTATTTTTTTAACGATATTATTATTGAATTTTTGAATATTTCATTATTATTATTAAAAAAATATATATTGAAATACCGGCCGACATGAGTGAGAAACGACAACGAAGATGACGACGAGCCCGTGTGAATAGAAGACTATACACAATGATGGCGCCATCCATCGCACGGTGAGGTGTTCTCATTGTGTGTGTGTTGTTGGGATATTGAATAGAAAGAGAGAGAGAGAACTGAATATGGGTGTATAATATTGTTGGCGAATTTGTCGGTATAAATAAGGAAGTTAGAGAAAAATTTCTTACCGTGGCCGTTAGGAGCTGTTTAACTAATTAATTATATCCCCATTTTACTTGTATGTTACCTAAGTGTAATCCGTTAGTAAATTTTAACAAGGCACTGAAACGTAAATTGTTAGTTACCTTTAACAAGAGACAGGCATAACTTTGAGCACTCCGTGTCTAGTTTCGAAAATAAAATGCTTTTATTTAATTATTATTTAATTTCGGTCGTCCAAGTGACCTCTAAATGGGTTGTCATAACTTTTTAACGTGTAATTAAACGAAAAATGCTAATTTTTTAATTATTGTTTAACGTGTGTACTCGCGCGTTACTCATTCGGGTATCGATTAAGGTTTTTACGTTTTAATTGGTTTTCTACTCCCCCTCTACTGAAGTAAAAAAATACAAAATACTCATAAGTAGAACTCGTACTTATTACCGGCGGCGAGGCAAACTTGTAGCGTCGTATTTTCATTAAACAAAAACTTAATAAAAATAGTTGTTCGCTAATCGTGTACATACAACAGCTTAAAATGCACACGTTATTACCACCGCCGCCGGTAGTTGGTAAAGTACTCGTTACGCCTGTCTGCGCGTCTGTCAATCATTGCGATAATAAATCTCCGGTACTACATTGTTGTATTACCCGGTATATAATACTAAGCCTATGTGTGCACGCGTGTGCCCATCGTCAAAGAGGCCGGTCTCGGGGTAAACGCGCTTTTCGTAGCCTTTCAGTGATAACAATTATTGTTGTTTTGATTTTTCAGTTTCCAATAATATTATATTTCGATAACTAAATAACTATTGTTATTATTTTGAAAAGAATAACATCTCGGATATGCTCCACCGTGTTTCTCATTCGATAAACCTAGTTAGCGTCGGTTGACGATGGTCGTAAATCGTTGGTGAAATTGTTGTTTTGTTAAAATAAGCGCAATTCCGTCTTGACGTATGCCCTTCGTTCAGATATTTTTTTAATGAGATAATGCACAAGACGTTCACAGAGTTCTGTTTATAATAGCAGGCAATATTTCTCATTGTGTGTACCGCCGACCGGTCCGGTTAGGGTTTTAGCGTGTTTGTTATTTACAGCGCTGTAAAATAACTCAGTTGTTGTGCCCAAATAACGTTGCCCGTTGTATAGATCCACGTGAGCAGTGTAAGTAGAAAAAAACAATTTTTAATTTTATTATTTTGGTGTTTTTTTTTGTAACCATCGTCGTCCTTCGATGTGGACATGTACAAATAAAATTTGTATAAGTGGTTTTTATTTGTATACTTTATTTCATCCCCAACGTCTCGTGAACTATTTAGTCCCAATTAGTCGGTCTTCCATCATTCCTCCGCCTCTACCCGTTTTTCATAATACCAAACCTAATGTGAATTATATTTATTTTTTGGGGGTTGTCTATTTTTGATATATTTACCACCGCAGACTCGCTTTTACCACCCACAAGCAATGAGATGGTTGTTTATTTATCGATTACTCTAGATTCCCTAATATACGGTATTGGTCTTATTATAATATTTTTTTTTTTTACTCTCATATGGCTTTATGTATTTGTCGTGTGTCAAAAATCGACGGCGGTGTTGACGTTACTTGTGGACGCGAATGAGAAGGTAGGGGCGATGGCCTATATCGCGTGTGTTGCGGCATCAGGCTGTGCAGGTGTAACGAGTCGGAATAAAACCGAAATCTGACGCAATTCGCCGTCCAGACTCTTCGTGGCTACAAACAAACCGGTGTCTGTGGTCTGTGTGTGCGGTTCATTTGCATAAATTTTTTTTCTTTTTTTTTTGCTATAGTATTCTTAACGAAAGCCGCCAGTGCGTGGTGTGTGCAGGTGAATGATTAGGCGGTCGAACACGACACTGTATGTGAAAGGAGGGAGTCGCCTCGACGCCGGGGACCCAACCGCAGACGAATCCTTGATAAACATACCGTCCATTCAAACATCCTTGAGAGCACGTACTTAACTATTGTGTATAGGTACTTGATTGTGCCGCGCGAAGAATTCTAAAAGGGCGTAGTGGGGGGGGAGGGGGGGCAAACAGGAGAATATAATAAATAAATCGGCCATTTATTATATGGGTAATAGAGATAATAGTTATTGTAATATGACTGGGTACGTTTAAATTATTATATTACGATTTACGGTGACCGAGGGACAGCGATACCACCGTCGCCGTTGCAGTGCATTGCTTTGCTTATACTTAATACTAAAATCTAGAATATCCGGCGTTTGCACAGATGGATGAACAACTGTTGTTATGAAGACGATCGACATTTTTTATTAGGAACACCGAGTATACGTGTGTGTATGAGGACATCCGTCATATAAAAATGTGTTAATCACGTAGTAGCGGGGGCGCCATCGAGGTGGCCCAAATTACACGAGTATCTCGATCTCACTTCTTCTATAATATCTAAATCCCTTCTCTATTGGAATTTGTCATAATTAATGTAGAACGGCGCCGATGTTAGTTTTGATGTTTGT